TGAATTATAACAGGATTTGTAACTACAAAGGTGGTAAAATTTGTGTTACCCAGTATGCTTCCTAAGCGCAGGAGTTGTGTTTCTTCTTGCTTAACCTACTTCGAGTTGGATTTCTTTCATTTAACCCTCAGAATTCCACGTATATAGATGTCAATACCAAGACATCAATTAGATAAATAATTTTAAAGAAATTTTAAATTTATCTAATTTAAATGCCCACCCCCTTACAAAGTTGCTGTGAAAAACAGAGAAAATGTATGTAAAGCATAGTAGCTGCTCATAATAGATGTTCAATAATTAGTAGCTATTATTACTGAAGGTGGGGAGCCTCTACCTTTGGACAATCTTAAGGACTGGAGAAGTGTCTAACACTCAAGGTTTTAGACCAAGGCAGTGAGGATGAAAGAACAAGACATGGCCCCTGCCCTCACTGGACTTACAATTTAGTAAGGGAGAAAATGAATGTGCCCATGTGGAAGAAAGACAAAAGAAGTGCCATAAAAGGTAATATGAAGAAAAAGTGCTATGAGAGTTCAAAGAAGAAAGAAATTACCATGTGCCAAGAACCTGTACTGTCCAACTAGTATAACCATTTAAAGGATTTAAGTGCCAATTACTATGGAAGAAAAATAGCTCTAACTGTCCAGTTTCTACAATGAATTGAAAAAAGCAGAATACAAGACATTTTGGGCATCTTGACAAATACATGTCCTCTAGGTGCAGGACACCTGGCAACCCGATCTCTATCCCTCACAAGAATCCTACATGTAGGTCATTTGTTATTTCCATTGTATAATTGAGGAAATAGAAACTTCGAGTGACTTGTTCAAGGCTACAGACAGAAATGGCAGAACTGAGAACCAAAACCTAAACTGTCTGGCTGTAAAACCTGAAATCTTTACACCTCATACTTCTCAACAATGGATAATTTAGGTCCCAATCCCAGTTCAACCTCTAGCCATATGTATACCCGACCTTGGGTCTACTTCTTCCATACTTTTGTGCTTCTTCTACAAACCTGGCAAATTTGCTAAATAGCTGAGCTTCTGTTCAGCTCTCTAGAATTCCGAGAACCTATGCAGTGACTTTCAAATTACGGTCCCTGAACCACCAGCATCATTACCTGAGAACTTGTTAGGAAATTATATTCTTAGATCACACCAGACCCACTAAATCAAATTCTGAGTGGGCCCAACGATGTTTTAACAAGCTCGTCAGGGTATCCTAATCCAAGTTTGAAAACTACTTTTCTTCAGCATTCTAAAGGAACGCTGCTCTTACTTCTGATACGTTTTTCCTCCTCAATGACCAAGTCAATGACTCCCAATACTTTTCTCCTGAAGCTTTTAAGATGGCTTAGAAATTTGGTATTTGGGGCCGGCCCGGTGGCGCACTGGAGAGTGTGCTGCTTGGTGCTCCCGCCGAGGGTTCGGATCCCATGTGGAGACGGGTTCCCGCTCACTGGCTGAGTGCAGTGTGGGCGCAACACCAAGGGTTGCGATCCCATCGCCGGTCCCCGGTACGGGCGCGACACCAAGGGTTGCGATCCCGTTACCGGTCAGTAAAAAAGACAAAAAGGAAAAAAAAAAAAGAAATTTGGTATTTGCATTATGGCATGGGACTGAATGTCTATTCCTGCTTCCAAATCCTTCACTAAACTTCACCTCCTTCCCCAACAGGACAAAGGCACGATCCCTGTCAATACCATGACTGTCTCACCTTTGTTTTCTCCTGGCCCTACTTTTAAGTCTCGAATACCTCTCCCTCTTCAGGGTCTTTCCCATTTCACCCCTCTGTCCTTCACCTTCCCGCTAATCATCCCTCTTTATCCATCTTGCCCCAAATCCAGTTAAACACTGCCCTCTACTCTCTTCACTCCACTTCCCACAAACATCACTAAATGTCTTTGTTCACTGCAGAATGTTTCTGTGGTCCTATGAAACAACTCCAGTTTGAATATGTCAACTATTTAAACATGAACAGCACTGAAATTGACCTATTATGAAGTCCGGTTTGCTAAGGACACCAATGTCAAAAGTTTGTTCCATCCAACAGAGCTTTCAAGTTTCCTCAAGCACTTTAATATACTACGTTCTAATTAAAAATTATTTTAGCCTGTTAATCTAAGTCCCCAAAAGACCTTTTATTGGGCCATTAACAATTCTAAAATACTTTCTCAAAATTATTAATTTATATGTGACATGCTCACATAAACTAGTAAAATTTTATTGTGCATTAGGTATTTATTACCTTCTCTGCATCATTACTGCTTATTTATCTAAACTTAAAAAATAAAAAACCCTCCTCTAGAGATTAGAAATAATGTTAAAATTTTCTCTTTGGGGCAATTATCACAGTGCTATGCTCAAGAACATGTCTTATATTGGTGATTATATATGAAATATACAGCCCTCTCTCCTCACTAAAGAGTACAGACCAAAATAAAATTAAGTTAAAGGTATTGCATGTCACGAAGCTTTAAAACAACCAAAACTAGATATTGGCCCAAAGTTGTCAAATTCACCACCAACTGAGAACTGGCTGCATCAAAATTAGCTATGGGAGCTTTTTTAAAAAACAGACTTCTGGGATACATTTTCCAATTTTCAAAATCAGAATTGTTCAGGATAGTACGAGAGTTAGCTCCTAGGTGTTCCTAGCACAGAATAGATTTAAGAACTGGCCTGGAACAAACTCCATTTTAAAATTAATCAGAAGTACCATAGCACAAACTAATTTTAAAATATGAATTAAGGGCTGGCCCGGTGGCGCACTCAGTAGAGTGCGGCGCTTGGGAGTGCGGTAGCGCTCCCGCCGAGGGTTCGGATCCCAGATAGAGACCGGTCTGCTCACTGGTTGAGCGCGGTGCGGGCGCGACACTGAGGGTCGCGATCCCGTTACCGGTCACAAAAAAAGACAAAAAGGGGGGAAAAAAAATGAATTAAAAGAGGACCCAATTTAGCTTTATACTGTCACTGAAGTTGGCATAAATACTCTATGTAGAACTACACAAATATTTGGAGCAGGATAAAAAGTGGGTCTCTCATTATAGCAGTGGATGACAGTGCCTTACCATTTGTCTCATTTCCTTGGCCTTGCAAGTCAATTCTAAACTGATGCATAATTGACTTTTCAAACAAGTAGCCTCCATAGAACAAAAGCAGTGAGGTTGCACGCTTCTTCTACCATATCTATAAGGCCCCAAACATTTGTATCACCCATTTATCTATTACTGAAACCAAAGTATCAAGAAATATTTATACTTAACTATATAGGATACATCGATAGCTTCTTTTCTAAATCCAGGAGTGGGAAGGGTTGGTGGTTAATGCTGGTCCTGAACCATGAAAGGGTTTGATAGTTTGGATGTGTTATCCCCACCAAAACTTGTGGAACATCTGATCCCCAATGTGGCAGTGTTTGGAGCTGTTTGAGTCATGAGGGCAGATCCCTCATGAATGGATTAATGCTCTCCCTGGGGGAGGGGGGCTGAGTGAGATCTTGCTCTTAGTTCCCACAAGAGCTGGTTGTTTAAAAGCCCTCACATCATGGGCATGGAGGGTGACAATCAGCTTTGTACCTCACGAATATTCATAACCAATTAAAAAAAGATAAAAAAAGACCCTGGCACCTTCTCTCTTGCTCTTGCTTCCTCTTGTCATGTGATCTGCTTATACCCACCAGTTGCCTGCAGCTTTCCACCATGAGTAGAAGCAGCCTGAGGCCCACGCCAGACATAGCTGTCCCAGAATTGTAAGCAAATAAACCTCTGTTCTTTATAAATTACCCAGTCTCAGGTATTCTGCTATAGCAACACGAAACGGACTATGATAGGGTTGCAATCTACAATTTTAAAAACAGATCTAGTTCAATGCTTCACTTCATAGGTAAGGAAACACAAGCCTGTAGATACGCCATTGCACTGTGTCAAATCTTTTCTGTGACTTTTCATTTACCAAATTCCTACCGTGAAATTTTAACCCTCCATAATACGAACCCAAATCACTTCCATCCACAGGCTCTGCATTCTTTTATAGCAAACTGGCTTCCACCAAAGGACTTAAGCTAGAATAAGGAAACCAAACTGCCTTAGGTCCCATTGCCAAAGAAAGTGACCCACACTTTTTTCTATACAGTACAAAATTTCCAAGACAACATATATTATATTAGATAGATCACTCATTACATATCCAATCAATCAATAACAAAGGAATGCCCCTTCTAGCCATAAGTAATCAAGAGGAAAATTAGAGGAGATATGGTAGGAAAAAGGATATATACTAAAAAAGAAATAGAACAACTTTTATAGACACATCTCTTGACTAAACAGCAGCAAATTTAAATTAGGCTGCTTATGGGTAAGAACCACAATGAGAAACATAAATTAATTCCCAAAGTTAGTGATTTTAGCTAAATAAACAACACTATGTCAAAACAGGTAAGCAGTTTTTAAGTCAACCTTGAAAGCCAAGATAAGCAACTCCTTTGTCCAGTTGTTACCTCTAACCAAAGCAGAAGAATTCACTTAAATGAATAGCTGTTATAACCTACCTAAAAATAGGATAGTTCAGAGATTTTCAAAACTGTTCTTTCCTGCTGTGGACAGCCCTTGATTTTTGACTCTATTAGTTGTTTTATTACTGCAAACCCCTATAAATTGAACATCATTTCTCAAATTTGTATAATGTTCTCATCCTGAATGCTTAAACATCTAGGTCACAAATTGAAGTTATCAGTAGAAAAATATTCATCTTCAGACAGGTTGTATCGTTAACACATGGCAATAAACCAACAAGAAAATTTAAACATTCAGAGCACAAAAATACTTCAAAGCATTACAAAACTTGAACTTAGCACACTTTCCTAAATTTTAGTAGCTCTAACTACAGGAAAATAGAACTGCTGTTAAGGATTAAGATGATTTAAGCTAACTCAATTTTTGCCCAATTCCTGACATCAATATTAGATTTATAGTTTTTTCCCTCAGAAAATAAATGTTCAGAGATTTATAGTTTTATTATAGTAACAAATAGTTGTTACAGTGAGATCTACACACATATACAGTTATTATATTTAAATTCATATAGAATATTTACATTTTTAAGTTATACTTTTGAAATAAGAAGTACAGCTTAGGTTTTACAACAAAGAAAAGAAAAATATACAAGAATAGAGTTAACAGTAAAAATACAGCTATCTGTTCTCAATATAACATGTGGAGACTTTGTTAGAAAGCTATATCTTCTTAATCTGATTGTCCAAATCATTAAAATATGGATGATTCAGTGCCATTTTGCCTGAAATTCTTTTGGCAGGATCATAGACTAACATTTTCTGGGGGAGAAAGAAAAAGAAAAAAGATATTTAGGAAATAAACAGCTTAAAAAAAAAAAAAAAACACCCTCCATAAAGCCTTGACTTTTCTATTAATAAACCATAAGCTGATAATTTCAGTGAAAATATTCTAAGTGAAAATTTCCATTAGTTTAACAGCAAACCACATAAATGCCTCCTCCCCCATATTTCACACTCTACCTCTACAATAACCTACTCTTAAAATTATAAGTATCTCAATAACTTTTTTGTTATAAATTATGGTAAGACACAGGTATCTAGAAATAGCTTTAAAACAAAGACATAAATTTAGGAAAGATATCCAGTTAATTATATTTACTTTGAGAATTAAACAGCCATCTGAGTTATTTACAACATTCTTGAAATGGTGGCAGTTAACTATAGTGGTTTCTTTTTTTTTTTTTTTTCCTTTTTGTCTTTTTTCGTGTCCGGCAACGGATCGCAACCCTCAGTGTCACGCCCATACCGGACCGAGACCGGCAACGGGATCGATCGCAACCCTCGGTGCTGCGCCCGCACCTCACTCAGCCAGTGAGCGGAACCGGTCTGTATGTGGGATCCAAACCCTCGGCGGGAGCGCCGCTGCACTCCCAAGCGGCGCACTGTAGCAGTGCGCCACCGGGCCGGCCCAACTATAGTGGTTTCTGATGTAGCTTCCAACAAGTTCCAAATTTTAAAAAAACCCATAGCATAATGTGTTATAAACATAGCCAAAAATAAGTCACTAAATGAATTATGAATTGTGTTCAGGCAACCCAGTATTAAAGTTAATTTACACATCATCAGAAAAAGCTAAACAAAATTTAATATTAATCTTAAATTTGATCTTAAAGTAATATTGATCTTAAAGAAAACCAAATCAGAAAGCAGACAGATATTTTTACTAACTAGTTACCATTTCAGTTATTATGTATTCAGCATTGTATAAAGTGCTTTGGATATAGCATGTTTCTTAATCCTTACAACAAAAGGTTAGTCCCATTTTTCAAATGAAGATACTGAGGCTCAAAGAGGTTAAGTCCATAGAGCTAAGAAGTGATACAGCTGAAATTTGAAAACAAATCTAATTTATGATATACTATTTCGCAAATGGGGGAGACATTGCCCCTAGAGAACACTTGACAATGTCTGGAGACACTTTTGGTTTTCATAACTGGGAAGAGTGTGCTACTGTCATCTAGAGGGTAGAGGACAGAAATGCTGCTAAACATGCTGCAATGCATGGGAAAGTGCCAGCAATTGTAGCTAATTGTAACAAATATTAATTGTAGCTAGACTTAGGAACCTGATTTATAGTATCCGATTTTTGTTTCATTAACTAAAGTGAAATCATTTTTATTCAAGAATTACATTAGTTAAAAAAGGCAGATTGGGCTGAGAATATGGAAGGGCCTTTAAGTCAAATCAACAACACTGATACACAAAATATCTGAATGGCAAAGACTTTGGACTTGAAGCAGTTGGGAAGTCCGAGCTTAACTTGGTAGCATAATGATTTATAGACTGTGAAAGGAGCCCAAATACCAATTAGAAGATGTATTTGATAACCAGACAGCAATAACCTTTTTTTTCCTTTGTTTAGACCTGCCAAAATCTTATCTATTTTCTTCTGGCATCATATTACCTGGGATTTATAGAAACTGGTCCCTTCTAAAAATTCAAAATTTAAATATTGTTCTAAAACAGCTTCCTGAGGCAGACTTAGTACAATTTATTTTGTATCCTAACAGTTCTTATTTTATATGTTGTCTTGTTTTTAAAGCAGACTGTTAGTTGGGAATAGCAATGTAATAGAAGGGAAAGATTTTTAGGAACTACATTAGTCCTTCCAAACTTTCTGATGGAGAAACTAGGCAAAATATAAGAAATGGAGTTCATATAGTAAACAGCTTTAATAACTAAAAATAGCAAGCAATAAGGAAAACACTTACATCTAGCATAAACTATAAAAGGTGCTCAATAGCAAATACTGGGACAAAAAAAGCTGGAAAGAAAGTCCCATACAACTCAACAATTTAAAAACAACAATAAAAAGATATATTAATCCTGCCCTCTCGGTCAGTGTCTATAATCACCTGTCAGATTTTTAAAAAAACAAAATGTCAAATCCTCCTCCCAAAATCACTGTTGTTTCTTAGTATCTAAAATGGAGCTAGTAATAAAATAGACATAACAGACATCTAACTCAAACTCAATAAATGTTGATTTTTAACCTATTTCCCAGGTTAAAAACAAAGGATTAAAAACATTCAGAATCATCAATAATGTTAAAGTCAGTACAAAGGGTACTCCTCACCGACAGCAGATCCAAGCCATTTTCATCCAAGTTTTTGACATGGGATGCTAGGCTTCCTGGTTTCCACTTGGGAAATGTATTCTTATAGTCCTGTAAAGATTCTACTTCTGGCCACACTTCATTATTAGGAGTGCCTAAAGCTCTGAAAACCATAGCAAAACAAAAAATTAACTGTTAAAGCATAAATATAATCTCATTATTACGTGTTGCCTTTACAATTTGTTATTATATATGCTGCCTTCAATAATTTAACTTAAAAGTTTTTAACTGCTTAGATAAAAAACAAAAATACCTGAAAATCCTGAAGAGTTGATCAATTTCTGAATCCCCATGAAAAAGTGGTTTCTTAGTCGCTAATTCTGCAAATATGGTTCCTATACTCCAAATGTCAACTGGGGTCGAGTAACGAGCTGACCCCAGCAATACTTCTGGAGATCTGTACCACAGTGTTACTACCTATTACAAAGCAAATTTTTTACATTAAATAAATGTGATGCATAAATTACCCAAATTTAAACAATTATATTTCATTATGACTACCCTTTAGAAGACTATATAACTGCCATCAATAATAGTAAGTCAATTAACTATGCACAAAATACTAAATTGAAGATGAATATCTCATTTCTCAGTTCTATTCACTACAGGAAAACAGATAAAATAACACTAAATGTTTTCATTCTTTTCAAATTATTAGAGGGAGAGAACCAAAATAGTTATACAGGGTCTTCTCCCTCCACCCCAGTGTACAGTGGGGTGATATTGTACAAAGCACAGTACCACTTACATGCTAAAATGGTAATTAACATTACCCTTATCACATGCATAAGGAACACTAATAAGTCAAATAACAGTATATTAGTAGTGTCCTGGAGCTAATAAACCACTTTAGTATATTTAGCGTAGTTGTAAAAATATCACCTTTAACTTAGAACAAAACTAATGAGGTCAAAAGCATTTGTTTAAGCCAAAGAAAACAACAGATCTTAATTTATTTATACAGCCATGGAAAAAATAATAAAACAGGATAAAAAGCAGCCAAGACACCTAACCAGATGAGCACTGTTACAAGTTTTGACTGGGAGACAGTCTTTGGGCTCAGGGTAGACAATTCCACAGACAACACTTTTTTCAATAATTCTTTACTATAAAATTCAATGTTCCCTTTTGCTTCAGAAACACCAAATGAAATGCCACACCATCAATAAAACACTGACAAAACACTGATTATATTTAGTAGCTTTTAAATTTATCAGAAATAGTACTTCTTAGTCCACAAAACCCGTCTTTTAACCAATGTGATTGCATATCCAGAGGGTGCTTAGAAAACAGAAACCACACAGTGATTTGAATAATCAAAGTTTAACATAAAGAATTAAACTATAATGAGGATTGGAAGAAGAAGACTGATTAGTAAGAAATAATGAGAATTCTAAAAACTATATCAAGGAAAACCTCTTCCTTTTGTAAGCCTTTCCAGTACCCTCTACCGAAAAATCTTAACACAGCAGCTGGCAAAGGAAAAATATTAAAAGGTTCCAGTTCCATTTTCACACAGCATACAATGAAGGGTAAATTTGGAGCTGAGAGACAAGGTGATACTGGCACAGGGTAGAAGTCTTTTTTATTGAGTATTTCTTTCTAGACTTAAAGAACAAATACAAAAAACAACCCAGCAATCGCACACATTCAAAGACACCAAAAAATAATATTCTACTTACCTCATGTGTATATACTCTTATAGGTATTCCAAAAGCTCTGGCAAGGCCAAAATCAGCCAGTTTAATTATTCCTTTGTCATCAATCAATAAATTTTGAGGTTTTAAGTCTCTGTGAAGAACCCTTCTAGAGTGACAAAACACAATCCCCTGTAGAATTTGGTACAAGTAACTCTGGAAAAAGGAAAAAAAAGTCAGAAACTTAATCATACCACATACAATTTTCTAAATAATCATTAACAATTTGTTTCAAAGATATAAGAAATTATGATCCAGGGAAATAATTTAACTATCAAAAAAGCTTTCAGGCCATTTGAGGCTAATCAGCATTCGTGGGCGGGAAGTTGATTTATACACAATATCATGTTCATACACCTAAGACAAAGATATTCACCTTATAAACATATCTACATACATGTGAACTCAGTCTCCTTCTACTTGTTTTTGGTTCCTGATCCTGAAGTCTCAATTAGTTTTCTATACAAAAGTTTCTTGAACTTTCTTCCACATACTTAATACCAACTGTTTCTATCTTGACTAAGTTTGGTCTTTTCATTTCTGTCTTTCACCTTTACACATTCATTTCCTTTTTGGAAACACTGATCACAGACTCCAGAAGAAATGGCAAGAGGACAGTATTGTTACATATTTAAATAAGTACAATTATCATAAAATGCTGTTTAGTAGTTCAGAGATACGTGTTTTACAAGATACTTGTTACCGAAGACAATGTACCTGACATTTGAAACATGAATATTAAAGAAATATAAAATATATACATAGTAAAATGTTGACTCAACGTTTCAGACTTGAAAATAATACATAAAACCAGTATGAACTAGCTAGCCATCTGGAAAAAAATAAAGTTAAATCTATACCCCACTTCTTAAGCCAAAATAAATCTTTGACTATTCAGAATGGAAAACAAAAAAGTGCATATGTGTTGGGGGGAGTGGGGCGGGTTGGACCTATTAAAACTACTAGAAAAATATTGTCATGAATTACTTAAATATATGTAATCTTTGAGGGAGGAAGGCTTAAACAAAACATAAAAGCTAAAAGTCCAAAAGTCATACAAGATTGCTAAATATATTATAAATAAAAATTATTAGTGGTATATACCACTAACAAAACAAACAAAGAGGTAACAGGGTTGGCCAGTTAGCTATGTTAGAGTGTGGAAATAGAACACCGAGGCTGGGTTCAGATCCAAGTATTGACCAGCCACCAAAAAAAAAAAGAATGGAATTGGAACCTTTTAATATTTTTTCTTTGCCAGCTGCTGTGTTAAGATTTGTCGGTAGAGGGTACTGGAAAGGCTTGCAAAAGGAAAGAATTCTCATTATTCTTACTTATCAATCTCCTTCTTCCAATCCTCATTATAGTTTAATTCTTTATGTTAAACTTTGACCATTCAAATCACCGTGTGGTTTGTTTTCTAAGCACCCTCTGGATACACAATTACATGCAAATACTATGCTATTTAATATCAGACTTGAGCATTTGCAGATCTTGGTATCTGGCAGAGGTCCTGGAACCAATCCCCCACAGATTCTGAGGGATGACAGTACATATTTTTCTTTTTTGGGGGGCATAAAACGTTATCAGACATAGATCTTCCTGTGTCTGTTTACTTTTTTTTTTTTTTTTTTAGCAGCTGGCTGGTATGGGGATCCAAACCCTTGACCTTGGTATTGTTTACATTTTTGATGCAATTATTTAAACCAGTTCCATATTGATGGAAGTTATTTTCCAGCTTGCCGATTTCTCTTATGAACAGTGTTGCAGTGAATTTCCTTGTGTATATTTATCTTTGCATGGAAGTTTATATAGGATCTTAGAACTGGAATTGATGGGTTGAAGATGTTTATTTACATTTAAGATCATGATAAATATTGCCAACTGCTCTCTAAAAAATTGTATCAACTCATGGTGTGTAACAGGTATTGTTTAGTACATGTTTATGAACATACAAAGTAGACATACAAGTGTAAGATTAAAATTAAAACTAATGAAAGCAACCTCTGATGAGTGGTTTGGTAGAGTTAGTGTAAGGATAAGACACTTAAAACCAAAATATCCTAGCTTCCAGTGACACAGGAGTACCCCCCTTATCCACTGGGGATATGTTCCAAGACCCACGGTAGATGCCTGAAATTGAAAATAGTACCAAACTCTCTATATATAGTCGGCTCTTCATATCCACAGGTTCTGCATCCATGGATTCAACCACAGACAGAAAATACTCAGGAAAAATAAAAATTGCGTCTGCACTAAACACGTGCAGACTTTCTTCTTGTCATTATTCCCTAAATACAGAATAACAAGTATTTACATAGCACTGACATTGTATTAGGTATTATAACCAATCTAGAGATGATTTAAAGTATACAGGAGGATGTGTGCAGGTTATATACAAATGCAACACCATTTTATAGACTTGAGCATCTGCGGATTTTAGCTACAGACAGCAAGGAATGGCTCTACTGTTTTTTCCTATACATGGATAACTGTGATAAAGTTCAAGTTGTAAATTAGGCACATTAAGAGATTAACAATAACTAATAACAAAATAGAACAATTATAACAATATGCCAGCATCACTACTCTTGCATTTTGGAGCCATTATTAAGTAAAATAAGGGTTATGTGAACACAAGCACTGCAATACCATGACAGTTGATCTGATAACCTAGGTGGCTAAGTGACTAAAGGGCAGATAGCATACACAGTGTGGGTACACTGGACAAAGAGATTGATAAACATGCCAGGCAAGACAAAACAGGATGGCACAAGATTTCATCACGCTGCTCAGAACATCATGCAATATAAAATTTATAAAATGTTTGATTCTGGAATCTTCCACTTAATATTTTATGCATAATTGAAGCTGCAGAAAGAGAGACCACAGATAAGGGGAGACTACTGTATAATACAAGGGTACTACAAAAAGTTCATGGAAATATTTGTATTATCTTTTAACTCTATTTTTCCATGAACTTTTTGAAGTACTCCCCTACATACTTATCAGCTTTATGTTATCTTAGGAACTACTAGAAGTAGTAACTTACTTCATTTACTTGAAGCACTATCTGGTAATAAAATGTGTAATGTTAATATTCTAATCTGTATAGACTGAGGGAGGAAAACAAAATATTCTTTTCTCACTCGTTCTGCTTTCTAACACTTTTTCCAAGCATATTCCAACAAAACGCAGGGATTTCTATATAGAAGACTCTTGATATTCACAGTGCATAAAATTGATAAAATTAGGCAAGCTTCTTACCTTAACAAGTGAAGAATCCATGAACTGACCAGGAGGTATAGAATCCAAGTATTTCTTGAGATCCATGGAAAGGAATTCAAAGATGAGATACAACCTGGAATCCTGCATAAGCACATCTTGAAGACTGAAGAATAAAAAAATTATATGACAACAAAAACCCAGTAAACATTTTTGACCTCTCACATTCATAAAATAAAACTACTTCCATAAATTTCACAGTGAGTCATAAAAAGTAAGGAAAGAAGAGATGGTAACGTTCCTAACAGAAAACCTTAATACAAAAACCAGAATTTGAGAAAGGACTCTCAGGGCAGCAATTTAATTAGCACATCCATCACTTCAAACATTTATCATTTCTTTGTGTTGGGAACATTCAGAATCCTCTCTTCTAGCTACTTGGAATTGTGTAATAAATTATGGTTAACTACAGTCACACTATAGTGCTATAGGATACTAGAATTTATTCCTGCTATATAGCTATAATTTTTTATTTGTTGGCCAACCGTTCTCTATCCCGCCCCCTCTACCCTTCCCAACCTCTATTCTACTCTACTCTCTATTCTACCCTTTACTTCTATGAGATTAACTTTTCTAGCTTCCACCTGAGAACATGTGGTATTATCTTTCTATGTCTAGCTTATTTCACTTAGCATAATGTCAGGGCAGCAATTTAAAATTAAGCCTTATTATATAGGAGGTACTAATTGCAAACAAGCTGTATTCCAAAAAAACATATCTAGATTGGCTTATCATTGCTAAGAGCTTGTCTGTCCATTGAAGTAGATTATAGAAATACATTTTAAGGTAGTATTTGATCTTAACGGCTGCTCCTTATCTCCAGCCCCAGCAAAATACAATTAGATTCCAACTTGGACTGTAAGGAAGACATCTCACCCCAAAAAGCCAATCCAAATACTTAAAGAAAAAAATTTTTTTTTCTTTTTCATCTGACTTAGCTACCTAGGGATTAGAGCTCCCAGAGTGGGAGAGAGTTGACAAACCTCTGTGAAAGGGGCTTCTTTCCTCCCACGGCCACTTTACCTTGCTTTTCCAGCCCCAAATACCTATCTGCATCACAAAGCTCCTCTAACTCTGTTCCTGCTTTAACAATCTATTCCCTTTTACCAATCCCAGTATTCTTAACAAAAACCTGGCTCTATCATCCTTGGCAAGGTTAGACAAGAAATTAAGCAAATGTAAAAATTTCCACATTATTTAAAATAGTATGCAAAAAATGTTTTAACTGAGATATTATACTATACCTGACTATATTTGGATGACGAAGTTCTTTTAATAGAGAAATTTCCCGAATTGCAGTACTAGGAACCCCTTCCTCCTCACTTTCCAGTCTGATTTTCTTCATGGCTACCACTTGACCTGTAGTTTTGTGTCTACCTTTATACACAACTCCATAAGTACCTGAAATAGACGAAATAAATATCTGCTATGCGACCCACCCCACAAACTAAAAGATCTTAAAAAATGATTGAATCCCATAATGTTTCACCTGATAGAAATGTCTGCTGTGGCCAGATGGGAAGTATCTTACTCATAATTATACCCTTATTACTTCCAAAAAGAAACTGAGGGGTAACTACAATCTATCATGTATATGGTTTAGAAATAAAATTCATGTCGTCAGTTACAAGTTTCCCATACATTTAAACTACCATTAATGTTCCAGCATATTTTACAGAAGAAAATGATCTTCTGCAAATTGAGATTTACCTCCTGCCAAATATTCTACCTGACAATAAAGTACTTATAAAACACAATGTAAAGATTTGGGCTCAGGAAATATTACTGACAGGAGTCACCGTGACACTTTCAGAAAACTCTATGTACAGTGCCTTATGCTTTTCAGAACACTTTTATACATACAGTAAGTAGTCCCCCATTATCTGTGGTTTCACTTTCCATGATCAGCCAAGACCCGAAAGTATGAAATGAAAAGTTCTAGAAATAAACAATTTATAAGGTTTAAATTGTATGATGTTCTGAACAGCGCGATGAAATCTTGCACCATCCTGTTTGGTCCTGCTTGGTACATGATCTCTTTGTCCAGCATATCCACACTGTATATGCTACCTGCCCATTAATCACTTAGTAGCCCCTGAGGTTATCAGATCGACTGTCATGGTATCACAGTGCTTGTTGCTTGTGTTCACATAACCCTTATTTTACTTAATAATGGCTCCAAAGTGCAATAGTAGTGATGCTGGCATATTGTTATAATTGTTCTATTTTGTTATTATTGTTACTCTCTTAATATGCCTAATTTATAACTTAAACTTTATTGTAGATATTTATGTAGAGGAAAAAACATAGTGGTTTCAAGCATCCCCTGGAAGATGCTTGAAATCTTCCAGGTGTGGAGTTACTTCTTTTGGATGATTAAAGAAAGTGGTTTCTTGAGATGGAATCTACTCCTTGTAACATTGTTGTAAACATTGTTGAAATACCAAGGGATTAAGAATTTTATGTAAACTGAGTTGATAAAGTAGTGACAGGTTTGAAAGGACTGACTTCAATTTTAAAAGAAGTTCTACTGTGAGTAAAATGCTATCAAACAGCATCCCATGCTACAGAGAAATTTTTCATGAAAGGAAGAATCCATTGATGCAGCAAACTTCATTGTTGTCTTATTGGAATAGCCACAGCCACCGCTGAAGCAACCATCCTGATCCGTCAGTAGCCATCAACATACAAGCAAGACCCTTCACCAACAAAAAGGTTATGACTTGCTAAAGGCTCAGATGATCTTTAGTATTTGTTAGCAATAAAGTATTTTTAAAATTAAGGTATGTACATTTTCTGAGATACATTATTATACACCTAATAGACTACAGTGTAGTATAAATATAACTTTTTAAAATTTATTTTAATTGCCACGTATTGATTGTGCATATTTATGGGACTCAGAGTTATACATCAATATATGTAAACAGTGTGCGATGATCAAATCAGGGTAGTTAGCAAATTCATCATTGCAAAAATTTATCATTTGTGATGAGAACATTTAAGTTCCTCTCTTAGCCATCTGAGTATAATAAATTATTGTTAGTCATAGATGCCTAGCACTACTGTATACCACTAGAACTTACTGTTCTCATCTAGCTATAACTTTGTATCCACTAACCAACTGCTCCCTATCCTCCCTCCACACTACTACCCAGCCTCTAATAATCACAATTCTAATCTCTACTTCTAAAAATCTCTACTTTTATTTTTTTTTTTAGCTCCTGCATGAGTAGGAACCTGCAGTATTTATCTTTCTGTGCCTGACTTATTTCATTTAACATGTCTTCCAGGCTTATCAATGCTGCTGCAAGTGACAGGATTTCATTCTTTTTCGTGGCAAAGTAGTATTCCATTGTGTATAATACACTGCTTTTTCTTTATCCATTCATCTGTTGATGTACATCTTGGCTTTTGTGAACAGTGCTGCAGGTATCTCTTCAGTATGCTAATTTCCTTTCCTTTGGATAAAGAAATACCCAGCACTGGCATCATATGATAGTTGGGTTTTTCTGTTGTTTTTGTTTGTTTGATGATCCTCTATACTGTTTTCCATAAGCAGTACTAATTTACATTCCCACCAACAGTGTATAAGAGCTCTCTTTTCTCCACATCCTTGCCAGCACTTGTTATGTTTTGTCTTTTTGATAATAGCCATTCTGAGGTGAGATGATATCTCATTGCAGTTTTGCTTTGCATTTCTCTGATGATTAGTGACGTTGTGCATTTTCTCATAAACCTGTTAAACTTAATTTTTATATGCACTTGGAAACCAAAAAATATGTGTGACTCACTATATTGTGATATTTGCTATATTGTGGTGGTCTGGAATCAAACCCACAATATCTCCAAAGAATGTATGTAATTTGAGTAAATCTTGGGTTAACTATGACTTTTGGATAACCAAAAGCATTCCATATTAAAGGAGAATTGACTATGTTTGATCCTAACACCAATCCTTCTGTAGAAGTACAGTAGCCTTCTTCTATACACTTAAAATCTGTACATTTTGTAGGATATAAATTATATCTGTTTTATACACAAAAGGTAGGTAAGCCAGTAGCACACTCCTCTGGCACACTGTTAAAGCAGTCTCGGGAAGATTAGCCTCTTGCATAAGATAGTCGAATAAGCAGTTAATGGTAAAGTCAGAACTAATTTTTTCCCTAGTATTTTTTCCTCTTCAAGTGTACAATCTCATCTGTTCCTAAATAACTTTCAGAAATAGTTCATAACAATTGATTTAACTGGTGGCCAACACTATTTACTGAATTGAACTTTAGAGATCACAAGTGCTCTACGTCTCTTCTTTGTGACTCTATTCTAATTATTATCACTTCTCATTGAACTACTAGGAGTTAAAGCAGAATCATTCTACCAGTTAATCACCAAAAATTATTTATAAAATATATGATATTTGCTCTGAAATGAACTAAACATTCTAGATATAAAAATATTTTAAACATGTTAAATATTTTATATCTAAATAACCAAAGAAGCAAAAGAAAAATATTAGTTTAACAGTATCACAGAAGTAAAAGTAATCATAATACAGAAAAGCCTGGAAGGAGACCAAGAAAAACAGAAGACTTATTCCAGGAAATAAAGGAAAAATAATGTAGAATATGGTCAGGTTGCGGAGTCCCTGAATGAAAAATAATGTAGGATATGGTCAGGTTATGGAGACCCTGAACGGTAACCAGAAAACCTTCATTCAACATGGGCTGGCCACTCAGCTCAGTTGGTTAGAGCACAGCCTTGTAACACGAAGGTCACGAGTTCAGATCCTCATACAGGCCAGCTGTCAAAAAAAAAAAAAAAAAAAAATTGTGTGGACTGCCTACTAAATGCCAAGTAAAGTCCTACCATCATGGGTACAGCTACTCTCTATGATCCAAAAAGACATTTTAAGACAGAAAGGAGTTAAAAGACTAGCAATGCATCACTCAGATTTTCATAATTCAGAAGAAACCAGAGAACAATGTAATATTTGTAATATTGGTAATATTGGTAATATTTGAAATAAGAAAAGTCTGGAGGTATTTAAGAAATGAATTAGGTTGTCAAAAAAAATGTCGAGAGAAAAGGCAGAAAGACGTTTCTAGATTTAGAAGAGACTAAGGAAGCATTATCTGCCGAATGAAATGTGTCACCCTGGGTGGATCTTCAGAAGATTCACGCAGAAGTATTCAGGAGCAAAGTATATCTCTACAACTTAATTCAAGGGGATCAAAAAGAAAAATAAAATGCCAATATACACACATAATAAAGTAAATGTGACAAAACACTAACATCTTGACAAAGATATTATAGGCTCATTGTATAAATCTTTCAACTTATCTGTAGGTTTGGAAATGTTCAGAATAAAAAGTTGAAGGAAAAAAGTATAACTTTTAAAATCAGTATTTCAACACCGACTTTGAACAGGTACCTGGCAGAAACAAAAGAAAATTCTGTATGAAAGATGTCATTCATCAAGGCCTCAGATTACCTCCACAAGTCAATTTTTCAAAAACAATGTCCAGCACATAATCCAAAACAGTCAGAAACTGGAATAGCCACAACAATACAAGCCAGAACGAGAAGAAACAACAAAGTTCAGAAAAACACAAGGAAAACAGATGTTATTATCAAATATTAGGCTGGACACTATTGCCAGGCAGTGGGCAAACGGCTATAAACATGACAAAACTCCCAGCCCTCACGGAGCTTACAGTGCAGCAATAAAAAAGGATATTAAGGATGATGCCAAGGGAAGTACAAAATGCTCCTGGACTAAAGTGAGGACTTATGTGAAGCCAGTAGATGATGGCTTGGAGGAAGCCCATAGGTCAAATAGGGCATATTTAAGAACATCAAAAGAATCCAAATTATAGTTGAGAGGTATTCAGTGAGGCTGGCAAGGGGGCTACAATGTAGAGAGTTAAGGAGACTGTGGTCACAGTAACAATTCAAATGGTTAACATTTGAAGATTTTCTGAGTTAAAGCACTCAAACAAATGTTTTCCGTACATTGTCTCATTGCATGATCATATCTTTTGTTCTAAGTACAATTACCCCCATTTGCAGAGGCAGAAACATCTCCAGAGAAGTTAAAAGGCTGACCACTGTCACACTGCTAGAAATGAAGAATGAGGGCCTTGTGACTATGCCATATGTATGTGACAGACTAAATTTAAAACTATATTGATAATTGTTCCTATTTATAGTAGCTGGTAGAGTATCTTTCTCAGGAGCCAAATCTATAGTCTATTTTGAAGTTCTACAGTTTTAAAGAAAAATACATTCATGTTTTTTATTCCAAATTAAAATCAATACTCTTTAAATTCTCCGAGGATTTAAGAAACACACACTACAAAGCATTATACATGCTAAATCAAACTTATTCTTACTTCAGCAGCAAAATTAGCTTAGTGAAATGGGTGTAATAAGATATTTAACTGAATTTATTTTTTCAAAAATTAGAAATTCAAGAATATACATGCACGTCCAACACCACCCTAGCCTGTCATTCCTATCTTACTAAATTCCTTCCAGCATTCCTCTCCTTGCTTAATATTCCTTGTCAAAGGGGGTCTTTGAGCATACTAAAAATATAGATGGAAATGTTCTTCAAGCAGAACCTACATAAACTGCACTTTATTAGCAAATTATTTTATCGTTTGTTCCTGGAGAATTGAGGATGTCTAAACTCCTATATAGAAACTTGGGGGCCGGCCCGGTGGCACACTGCTACAGTGCGCCGCTTGGGAGCGCGGTGGCGCTCCCGCCGAGGGTTCGGATCCCACATACAGACCGGTTCCAGCTCACTGGCTGAGCGAGGTGGTGGAGCAACACCGAGGGTTGTGATCCTGTTGCCGGTCCCGGTCCGGGCGCGACACTGAGGGTTGCGATCCGTTGCCGGACACGAAAAAAGACAAAAAAAAAAAAAGGAAAGAAACTTGGATGTTTTGTTGACCGAAAAAAAAAAAAAAGATAAAGGAACACTTTTATCCTTCGTTTATGCCATATAGACCTAAGCATTCCTAAAAGTTCTACAGAAAGGGAATAAATTCCATACAAGTTTTTAGTTTTATAATAAAACATACACATGACAGGTCATTTATAACTAGCATAACTAAATCAAAATTTTATTTAAATTCTACTGCCCCCTAACCTCTGACCCCCAACACATACGTTATCAATAGTGTTTTCAAAACACAAGTGATGCTTTAACTGTTCAGTATCAGAAGAATGTAAGATTATGGGGGTAGAGTTGTCAGGGAATCATTATGATAATTTAAATTCTCTTGAAAAATGTGAACAATTTTGTGTTAAAGTTATTATGTAAAAACATATATTAATGCACATTAGTACTACAAGATACCTTAATGGTTGAATTTCAATGTCTTCATGTTATAGAACTGTAGCACTGTTATATCATTTAGAAAACTTACATTATTAAAACCACTCACCTTCTCCAATTTTCTCTATTTTGGTATAATCTTCCATAGTTAATCAATAGGTATAGTAGATCCTAAAATAATGGGAGAAACTGATATGATTACATGCTACTAATTCAAAGGGTAATTTTAAGCATTGAGATACTGTATGTATTTTTCCACAGTGCCTACTGCAGTACAGTATATAATATTCCATAAATATTAATTATTAAAACAATATTTACAAGGGTAAGAACTCCTGCAATAAGACTTTCCCACTCTTCTTGGCTCCTAAAACATTGGGAACATTGGTGTATTCTAAACTTGTGTAGTATTTAGCTTCTTGGATCAAATTAACAATAAAATTCAGATATCAACTTATCCATTCTTCCCCTTCAAAAAAATGAGAATTATATTCCCTTTATGTATCACTTGGTGCCTTCCAAGGTTATACCCAAATATTGCAACAAGTAATGTTATTTGACTGAATTTGGACTGTTTTATATTTTTGTAAAGATGATTCAAAAGAGACTATTTTTTAAAGACATAAGGAACTAAAATGTGATCAGATTTTTCATCTATTAGAAAGATTTTGTTTAAAGAAGCAAAATCTTTAAGTGTTTACAGTTTGCTCATGTGACAATTTTAATCTACCTCCTTTGTTTTTTAGCAGTCACATAAACAAATGTGCTTAAGACTTTCAAGGTACTTTTTGCAAGAATATGAAATATCACTAAGTACCCTAAAAGAATAGAATAAAAAGAGCAATTCCACAGGTGAAATTCTAATTATACTCTATACAATGTCAAGAACCAAGTAAAAAACTATATGCTTGAATAACAAAAAAATGGTAAAAAAAAAAAAAAAAAAACAGCTGACATACAGACATTCAAGACTTCTTCCGCTGTTAAGTTTGCCAGTGAAATTTCAGAAACCCAGGCCTAATTACCTTGATTTTCTAACACACCCATCACTGATAATAAAATCTTTATGAAGGTCATTCTGAATAACTGACCCTTAAGAAGTTCTATTTCTCACTTTCCTCTTCAAAGAAAAATCAATCCATTAAGTAGACAAATCTTTTTAAGTCAACAAAATTGCACTACACTGGTCTTTAAGTGCCAACCTTAAGAATTTGTAACTTTACGCAATGGCAATGAGCAATTATCTTTTCCCTTTTTAACCAGATTTAATATACCTAAAGCCCAATAAAACTGTTGAGCTCACTTCGAACAAACAGCTCACAATTACATCAATTTCAAACCTGGGTTCAATTGCCCTCCCACCATTTCCCAGTACTGACAATTTTAAATAAAGGCCGCTGCTTTAGAATGCCTTTAGAATGTCTCCTGGGGCTCTCAACTATTGGCTGCAGGATGTAAAATACCAATAGCTGCTTCTCTCTACCCACAGAGACCTCCAGGTCTTTAGAGGGTGCAAGACGTGCACACTAGTAACTTCAGTATTCGATTTTTAAAAATGACTAAAAGATCTTAAAAGACACCTATGTTTCCATCTCGGCATTTCTTAGCTTTCCACTTTCTGCAAATTCCGTAATACATAAAAACCAGCAAGCATAAAACAAAAACGAAAAAAACCAAGTTCCCTTTGGCTCTGAGATTTGGCTGAGCGTTCTTAAAAGCCCAGGGTGGGCCAGGGCCGTGGGCTCAGAGTCCAGCCCGAGAAGTCCCACGACCTCATGGGGCCGGTTTCCCGGGGCGGGCTGGCTGTAGGGCTGGCGTGGCAGCCGACCCAGGTGCGGTCTCGCTTCACCCCCGGAGCGGAGGGAGAGTGCACGGGCCGCGGGCCTAGCACCAGCCGGGCATGATGGAGGCGCCCGGGGCGGTCGAACCCACGCACGCCTTTTGCTTCAACCATGACCCGAAATTCTCCGCAGCCAGACTGCAGCTGCCCGGCCAGCGTAGCCTCCCGGGGAACCCCGCTTGGCTGGGATCCCCCGAGCCTGCCTGGAGCGCCTGGCCCCGGGAGCAGGTGAAGGCCCTGCCCACGGTCTGGAGAAGCCCGGCCTTGGCCCGCACAGAGCGCAGCTCTCCATCGCGGTCGCGTGAAGACCACCCCGTTCCTCCGTACTCCCCCTCCGAGGTCCCCAGGCGGGCCCCTGACCCCGGCAACGTTACCCAGCTTATGATCCCGCGGCGGCCGCAGCTGCAGCTACCACGTCCGCGCCGCTCCTTCCCTCAACGTCCCAGAGCAGCCCTGCAACTAAGTGCGAGCAGTTTCAAAGTCACCGCGCTAAAGGGTCCCGGCTGCACCAATCAGGGAGCCCGTAGACTTTCAAAGGAGCCAATCGGAGCCCAGCTACGCTTGGGCAGGGCTTCCCGAAGGGCCAGAGCGCGAAAGAACAAGGAAACGGCGCTGGAGAAAAAGCAGGAGGGCGGGCGCCAACTGAAGCTAAGCGCAAGCGCGCTCTCTTTTCTCAGTAAAGCGTCCTGCTACTGTGTCTCCTTTGTCTCATCGCTCTGTTTTTCCTCTTTTTATTTTTTCTCTCAATATTGTCACAGTTAAGATGTATTGCATTCAAATAGCCCATCACAAAAGTGATATTGCACTTACATCGATATTCCATTTTTTCACTTCTAATAGTTAAAGTTAGTGTATAATTATGTTTTTCTAAATGAGTGATTTGCAGGCTGGACCAAAGGAACACGTTTCAGTTACCTTAAGAAGGGAATAATGGAAAACTCAAAGATACCTTATAAATGTCAAAAAAATTTCCAATTATATGTGTATATATAGCTGTGCTTTGTTTTGACTTATCTTTTTATTTAAAATTTTAAACTTTTTAATTCGTTGAAATTTTTATTTACTGAAAACTTTAAAACAAAACTTAAAATGTTTTAAATTTTAAAATATTTTCACATTAGAATTGTAAATATTCTTTAAAACACAAAAAATTCACAATTCTATGAAGGGAGAAAAAGAGATCTAAATTATACTTTAAATAATCCATTCTCAAAAACTCTGATCATTGCCCTTCACCACATCCTTAAGAAAGATTTGTGCACTTTGACCTCATTCTTAAGTCTTTAAGAACATTAAACAGTAAACTAGCACTGGTGATAATGAGAGTCCCCCTAGGATTTCTCTCTGCACAGACTCTAAGGGGACGTAGAACAAAGATTTATTACCACGCCTTCTATAAATATGTATTAGAAGACCCAGATTAGGCTAAGGAATGGAACTAGTCTATCTCATGCATTTTAGTGTTTAATACCTTCTTACACAATGAGCCGAGTCTGTCATCTGGCCCAATATGTTGCATGAATGCTCGATCTTGACAATTTTTTTGTCCTAGATGACCGAGAGCATTTGGGATTCATGGTGGAGGTAGGGGTTTGAGAACTCCTGCCTGAGCCTAATAACTTTTAAAATCCAAAATTCACTTTTTAAATGACAACTGACTACCCAGAGAGGTGCCGTAGGGATGTAGGTTGTTCTCAGCTAGTTTAGGGTACTGACTTGAATGAATGAACATATGTCTTTCTCTCTGAGAGGTTTATGCAAGGAATTCAATTTACATCTAAAAACAGCAAGTAACTCATTATACACATTTTACATTCAACATAAAGAAGACCACAGGCTTCCACAACTGTGATGCAAGATTTTCAGTTTAACTCAATTATCTGTCATGTTAAAGTTTCAGGGGTTATTGTAAATTCATGCTATCATTTTAGTGAATACAATTTATTACACTTCGGGCCAACTTCTATTCAGTGTCTCTAAGGTGCAGCTCTGTGTTTTATAGACACAAATATGAGTAAGATACAATTCTTGCTTTGGAAGTTGAGGGTGGGGGAGTACAATGATTACTCAGAATTCTCTTCTGGCACTTGTGTTATAACTTACGTTATAAGGTAACATGAGAAATAGGAAAGGAGCTTTCTACAGTAGTCCCCTCTTATCCACGGGGAATATATTCCAAGACACCCAGTGAATGCCTGGAATCACGGATAGTACCAAACCCTAAATATACTATATATTTTTAATACATACATAATTATAATAAAGTTTTATTTATAAATTAGACCCAGTAAGAGATTAACAACAATAGCTAATCATAAAATAGAACAATTACAATAACATGCTATAATAAAAGTTATATGAATGTGGATTCTCTCTCTCTCAAAATATCTTACTGTACTGTACTCACCTATTTTTGGACCGCAGTTGACCTTGGGTAATTGAAACCACAAAAATCAAAACCACAAATAAGGGGTGACTACTACAATTCTAACAGAGGAAATGACATTTGAACAAACACCAGAGGAAGAATTGTGGGGTGTGCCTTCCAAACAGAGGAAACTGTATGTGTAAAGCACAGAGTCCAGGAGGTCTGCCCGAGTGATTCAGGGCGCATCCGTGACAAGATGCAGGGGTGCCATAGGTGTTCAAGCAGGGAAAGGAGTTTGGAGTCAGAATCTTGAGAGCCCTGAACACTGTTCTAAAGTGTTTGAGCAGGGGAGGAGCCTTGGAACTATATTTGAGAACTACTCTAGAAGAAATGAAAAAAAGAACTGAAGGGGAGAAAATGGGAAGGTATGCACCCCAAAAGTTTCATTCTGGTAAACCCCATTTTGGAAGAAAAGGAAATGATCAGTTGGCACTGCAGAGAAGTTTTTTGTTTCTTTTTATTTTTTTAATATAAGTTTGCTATGTACTGAATATTTTCATCCCCCCAAAATTTATGTATTGAAGTCCTAACCCCAATGTGATGGTATTTGGAAATAGCACCTTTGGGAGGGATAGGGTTTAGTTGAGGTCATGAGGGTGGGACCCTCATGATGGAATTAGTGCTCTTAGAAGAGACACCAGAGAGCTTGGGAGCTTAATTCTTGCCGTGTGAGCTAGAGTGAGAAGACAGCAGTCTATGAGGAAAAGAGCCCTCGCCAGAACCCGACCTTGCTCACTCTCTGACCTTGGACTTCCAGCCTCCAGAACTGTGAAGAAATAAATTCTCTTCTTTAAGCCACCCTGTGCATGGCATTTTGTTATGGCAGTCCAAGATAAGACAAGTATTTTTTTAGATAAAAATAATTTGAGAAATAGTTGCTTGGGCCGGCCCGGTAGCGCACTGCTATAGTGCGCCGCTTGGGAAGTGGCTTCACAGCCTTCAGAATGTGGGAAACAAATTGTTGTTTATAAATCACCCAGTCTGTAGTAACTTATTTTGTCATTGCAGCAGAAATTAACTAAGACAGGGATCCCTTTTAAGACACAGTATATAAAATTAAGTGTGATGGGGAATACGTATTGAGAATAAGAAATCATAAAATTACAAAAATTTTAAAAGTCGAAAAATTGCATAAAATCACAAAATCCACAAGAAATTTTATTAATTGCCTGATACATCTTTATTATGCCTTTTGTGCTTTTTTTTTTTTTTTTTGCTATGCCTTTTGGAATCATATTTTAAATGCTTAGTTATCCTGAGGGTTGCGATCCGTTGCCGGTCACGAAAAAAGACAAAATGGAAAAAAAAAAAAAAAAGAAATAGTTGCTTGAAAATACGTAAAATACTCAGGAAGGAGATGTAAGAAACTAATGACAATGTGCCTCTGTGGAGTACAAGAGTGACTGGGCGCAGTAGTGGGAGGGAGACTTTTGTATCTTTTCAATTTTGAGCCATGTGAATGTGTTACTTAGTCCAAAAACGAATGAATGAAAATTGCCAAGGCCTCTTTTACTACTGGATAAAAATCATAGAAGTAGCTGAAAATCTTATCCAAAAGAAGACTAATCTTCCCTATGTTCATTCAGAAAGTAAAATGGTGGAAAATGCAAGATATATAGGTTCGAGGTCTTTTAATCACAACTGAAAATACTGAACTATCTTGGCTGTTCCAGAGTTAAGCATTCTTATGATTACTAATGTAATAAGTGTTTTTGTTTATTGGTTTGTTTTTGTAAACTTGTCAAGCAATCCAAAATGTACAATGCAGGTAATAAAATTTGTCATATTCAATCTCCGTGCCCCTGCCCTTCCCTCAACCAAAGAGAAAGAAAAAGAGAGCTCACTTAAATTTTGGTATTCATACTTTAAATGCACATATATTAACTTACCTCAATCTCTCATTGGAATTTCAGGAACTGGGCATGGGGTGATCAAGGACACCAGGTGAACAGATGTGGATCTTCCACTTAGGTGGGGAGCCAGTGCTTACAGTGAATGTAGTGAAGTCTGCCCTGTGCACAGCATAGTGGGGAGGGGGCCAGGCCAGGCTTCACAGCAAAGGTGGCGTCTGAATTGAGTCTTGAGGAAGGAAGAGTTTGCCAAGCAGACAAATGAATGAAGAGAGCTTCTTGGTCCATTGACAAGAAAGCACAAGTCATGTTTGCATGAAATTAATTCAGTATGCTGGAACATAAATGGAGTCTGGGGACTGGAGAAAGGGTCAGAAAAATGAGGCTAAGGAGTCAGGCAATATCTACACCTTGAAGGGCCTTTCAGGGTCATGCTAAAGGAATTGTATTGGAGGATGAAACTGAAAAAAAAAATGAGTAGGGGAACATAATCACACGTGGGAGTTAAGAGGAAAGGCACTCAGGAGGGATGGCAAGGTAGCATCAGAGCCAGGAGACCAGCAGGGACCTGCCACAGTCCCCACAGGTACTTAACTGGGGATGACTCGGGTGGACAGTTTTGCAGCAGGCTGAGGGCACTACCATCTGGAGAGAGGCTAAGGGGCAGCTATGGCTCATGGAGTGTCACTTTGAGCATGTTGATTGTTATTGTGAGACATCTAAGCTACTGAAGAGTGCCAAGAGTAGATGTAGGTTCTGTGGGACCTGAAGCATATATAATTCGGGGACTCCAATGGTTTGAATGTAGGTATTGCTACAAAATGTATATGTTAGAACTCAGACCCCAAGGTGATGGTATTAAGAGGTGGGGCCTCTGGGAGGTGAAGTCATGAGGACAGAGCTCTCATGAATGAGTTAATGACTTTATAAAAGAGGCTTCAAAACACTGCCTGGTCTCTTTCCAGCCCTTCTGCCATATGAGAACAGAGCGTCCATCCCTTTTGCCCCTCTGCCATGTGAGGACGCAGCAAGATGGCGCCATCTTGGAAGCAGACAGCAGCCCTCACCAGACACCCAATCTGCCAGAGCTTTGATCTTGGACTTCACAGCCTTCAGAATGTGGGAAACAAATTGTTGTTTATAAATCACCCAGTCTGTAG